TCCTCCCATTGAAACGAAGTTATAATTGAGCAAAAGGAAATTGCAAAAAATACACTATACCAATGAAGAAAATACCTCAATCCTTTGATCTGTATACCACTCAGGAGTCTGCCTATGCCCACCAGATCCAACACCACGTATGGAAACCCTATAATAACATAAATTACCAAAACTTGAAGATGAATAACAAAGGTGACACCCAAACTAAGACCTCTACTATGTTTTATTTTGTCCCACTTGAAGATGAATAACAAAGGTGACACCCAAACTTGAAGATGAATAACATAAAATTGTACCAAAGAAAGGTTAATACAATGCATGAATTGAGCTCATTAAGAGCTCTCGTCTAGGCCCCTCTTGTCTGGGTCCCTAGCAGATAAGGGTTTTGGGAATGAATTCCCCTTAACTCTTGATACCCCTTGTTAAAATTATAACCCGTGTGCCAGAGGAAGCATGTCCATAAATAAATATGCACATACAAAAGAAACCCAATGCCTACGTCTACAAGTGGGAGAGAAAAATCCATTATGAATAACATAGTACAGTGATGAGACGAAAAATACACTAATCCAACACCAATACCCAAGACCCCTACTCAAAGTAATGGAGTCCTTGAGCCCCAAGCCCCATAGGCTTCCCTTGTCATTGGTAGTTTTACATCTCACGCCCCTCACCCTTTTGTCACATCTCTCTCCCACACTCAACCCATCTCCTTCACCAACACACACACACACACACTTGAGATGGTTAAGAAAATACCACCCTTAGACTTCCCAGAACACTTTTAAGTTTCCCAAGAGAAGTGACCCGTGTGTATCCAAAAATGCACCATGCACTTCATTTGCATACCCAGTGTCGCCTACCCTTGTACACATTACCAGTTGGTGAATATAGCCTTTACACTTTCAATGTTCTTTGTGTTACCTCATTGAAAAAAGGGATCAAAGAATGTTTCTATCAAATAACTTACTCAAGGCTTCACAAACATCATATCAACCTTCTAGGATCCCAAGGCAGAAAACAAACCATCATTATATTGTAACTCATTTTCATAATCTATTAATTTATTTATTTTTCCATTTTATTCACATGGGCAGAAAAACCCAACAAAGGGCTCCATCGTCACGGGCAGGGAGGATTGCCATGTACTGGTCACCTCCTCTTACCCTTTTTTAACAAGTAAAACGCTGAATAGCTCTCTTTTGGAGTAGAAGTATGCTAAAATATATAAACTAAGTACTTCAAAATCACATTGTGTGCATTGAATGCCTTTTTTGTGTGTGCATTAAATGTTGAAACATTATAAGGCAAATTTTGGGAAGCAAGGTACGTATTTTACATACAGGTAACATTGCCAGATTTTTATCCACAGGGAACAAATAACCTTTTTTCATGCCTATTACAACAAATGCACCATAAATTCAATATATAACAAAACTAAAGTCACTCATAGTGAAACAGTTATAAGTCACTCATAGTGAAACGTTATAATTCAATTTCGCATAAACTCAAATTCAGTTAGTCAATGAAAAGCAACTACAAGAACATCTAATTTTGAAAACAAAGTCACCTCTTTTGATACAATACATAGCTTTCCATTGCCCATCCAGTGCTAGACAAAAGTCGAAGCTGTGTCTCCTCCCCCAGCAATCACAAACCTGCAATTCTCAAATCCAATACAAAATTTAGCACTAACACATGTATGCCAAGTGGGACTTATGCAATGAAATAGAAGTGTAGAACACTTCAACAACTAACTAAGAAAAAAAAGCAATCTAGAACTTCATTGATCATTTTCATCAGAACCAGACATTTCTGCATTAGTGATATGCTATAAAAAAAATTAAATTAAATTAAAAAAAGCACAGAGAGAAAGAATGAAGAAAAACATAATGGCCCATTCTATAGACTTTAGAATTTAAACAGTTACTTTGCCACAAACATCAAATGAGAGCTGCAATGCAGCTTTGCAAAACCATTTCCAACCATTTTCATTACATGATTCAACTTTCTCATTACAAAAAACTAAAGCAGCTACATACATTTTCTTTAAATGGTAAAAAAATAAAAAATAAAAAAGCTTCTTCTTTTAACCACTACAAGAAAAAAGACATACAGTGGCGTTTTTTTTATGACGTTTTTAAAAAACGTCGTGAAATTGTCCAGATTTTTCAAATTCCAAAAAAATTAAACTAAACCATCTCTCTCGTTTTGTGCCCCGTTATTTCTTTTAAACAGTGGCTCAACTCAAGGCTATGACATTCTTCTATTCAGATTGAACAGAGGCGTCGGATCTTCGATCTCCATCAATTCTTCAGTTGTTTGATCTGAAAAATCTTGTTCTACTCGTGATTTGAGCGTATCTCTCCGTGATTGTTCGAATCCCTATGATCTAAATCGATCTAGGGCTCAAGGTTAGGGTTTTCTGATATAGATTTGCTAGGTTTGGGGATGCGGTTGGATCAGGAAATGGTGGGATTGGGGATGCGGTTGGATCCTCTCCAGAAAGCCCACCTTCGCCAGAGATCTGGAGATGAACGAACAAGAGACTACTGTTCTGGGCTGCCACAGCAAGGGTAGCTGGAGACACGTCTTCTACAAGGTCAGAAAGCTTCTAGTCCGCCCTCATCATAACCTCCCTCAAACCTTCAGGTACGACTCCGTTACTTATTCTCAGAACTTCGACGATGGAATCGGAAAGATCAACACCAGATCCCAACTTAATCATTGATTCATTTGGGCATCCATATCCATCAATCAATGTCGTTTTGGAAAATTAACATCATCATGTGTTCGTGGAAAAATAAAGCTGTAGATCATCTCAAGATCAAGGTCACGTTTTTGCATCTGCCATATCGTTCGTTCCTGCCTTCCTTCATTCTTTCTTTCTTTTATTTTTTTTTAAAAATAAAGAAACGAGGGTTTACTACTCTGCCAGGGATATCATAGTAATTTCAAGATTATACACTACAAAACGTATTTTTGTGTAGTTGATGTTGGCAAGTAATCGGAAAGCTGAATGATCTGTGAGGTGAAGAAGGGAGGGGAAATGGCGGGTGGAGCATCACCGTCTTGCATCTTCTGTCAAATCGCCAGCTCTACCACTCTTCTCCACTCAGTTTGATCACTCTCTCTCTCTCTCTCTCTCTCCCCATATATACATACATATGAAAGTTTGTGTAAAATATCTTATTTTTACTGATTTATACAAGTTGAGATTGTGCAGGATGAGAAGGCTGTTGCTTTTCAAGACATCAATCCTTCAGCACTCAGGTTTCAAATTATTTATGTATTTATTATAATAGAGCTGTTTTTGGTTACTGTTGAATGTTTTGTTTTCTGTTTGAGTATATATATTCATTGCATAGACAGTTGGGAAGATTTGGAGACCCATTTCAGAATTGGGGTTGTATATTGTATCTGAGATTAGTGCATTTTATGAAAAAAGAATTAAAACAAGATTAGAGATAATGCAAGGGCTCGTCCTGTTGTCTGTGTGATAAATAAAGAGTCTCATTGTTGGCTTCAAGCATTTTTAATTTTTAATAAAGTTACATCTGTATATTATGAGAAACTCAAAAAAAGCAAAGTTGTAGTAGTATTAATCTAACAATTGATGTTACAAAAATATAGTAATCCCTTCTATTTTGAGCCTTGTTTTTTTTGGCTCTGAATGGGCTGATTTGCTGGAAGATGCAGTAGATTGTGAATTCCCTGTTTCTGTCATTGATTTAGTTTTCTAGATTGTTACTGCCTTTCTTTTCCTATTTGTGTAATATATTTATGCTGTATGGTTTTCCACCAGTGCTATATTTTGCTTGTCTTATCACTGCTATTAGGGTTTTGTTAAAGAAATTGTTTCTTAAATTTGTCGATATGATTCAGGCATTAACAGAAATCTCGTGACTGTAGGTACTACTTAACGGATGGCTTCGCATCTACAGACGTCACCGAAGAGAACAAGAGATGGTATTTTTTTTCTTCCTAATATTATGTATTGTTTTATCAAACTACAAAGCGTCAGCTTGGGATTTCCCCTTTTATGTTGTGATGTGTTTTTTCCTTGCAGATGCAATCTGAAGTTGTTGAGGAAATTATTTACGGCTTGGAATCAGGCATTTTGTTTGGGTACTGTCTCTCTATGTGGTTTTACTTGAAAATTTTTTAGCACGTTAATACTTTCTTCCATCTTTTGGGTTAATTGCACTAATAATACTGTTATTGTCAAAACCTGACAGGGATACAATCTTTTAAGAGACGAGGGAAAACAAATAAAAAAATAAATGGAAATTCTAAAAGGAATAATTTGATGATGCAAAATGCTACCACTACACGATACACGAGTAAAACACCCACTATTATTTGGGAGACATGGTTGGACACCATGATAGTTATAACTGCTTTCCTAGTAACTGGAAGAAGTCTGAAAGACTCAAAACAGGTCATTGTGGGAAAGTAGGATACTGTGTGGACCTTTTTGTTCAGAAGGAGATTTCACATGTATCATAAAAGGACTTAGTTTTTCAGTTGGGCTACCTAATTGTTTGGCGTATTACCAAAAGGAGTGCTAGTGTGAAGTCCTTGTGGAAAATTACTTGTAGACAGATGGCATGAAGTACTAGATATTGCTTCTATCAGTCTTCTTTACACTTTTTCCCCCTGATCTATCACTGAATATTACTTTACCCCCATAACTTTAAAACCATACATTTGGATCCCTCAACTATAAAAATTGCTTCACTTTCACCCTTCCAAAAGAAGGGTATTTGTACCATTTTTCATAGTTAATGGTTCTCAATGTACAGTATTGAAGTTGATGTGGTAAAGCAATATTCATTGATAGTTGAGGGGAGATAAAAGTGTAATTAACCCTTTGTCTGCAGGACTGGTGGCTTTCTCCTTCTAGATTTCTTACTATCTGCCTTTGCTGTAATTAGTAATATAGAATTCAACTGTTGACTCGCTGGAATTGGTTTCAATGTTTTTGGTTTATTGACAATGATTGAGTAATAAGCATGTTCTTTCCTTCAATTCTCATAGCATCATCATTGCCAAATACTAATTTTCAGGGGGTTATGATATGGAAGCAAAGGCTGCAAGAGCTTATGATTTAGCTGCACTCAAGTATTGGGGCCCTTCGACCCATATCAATTTTCCGGTGGTTCTCTGACCCTCTCATCAGCTTATTTCATCTAACAATTGTTTTGTAACTGACATGGGACTCTGTATATTGATGATTTAGCTGGAAAACTATCAACAAGAACTTGAACATATGAAGAACATGACCAGACAAGAATATGTTGCTCACTTAAGAAGGTATAGTCTCTCCCCTAGTATATTAGACAACAATGTTTGTTTTCTTTGTTTGATGTGTTTTTATCTCTAATATATTGATCTTTGCAGAAAAAGCAGTGGCTTCTCAAGGGGTGCTTCAATGTACAGAGGAGTCACAAGGTCTTACTATTTTTTGCACATACATCTGTTAATCTATAATTTTTATTGGCACGCTTCCTTTAATTATAAGTAGAAGTATATTTGATGTACATCTCGTCGTTCCCAGACCCTGCCCTTCTTTATGGGTCTCTAATTCTGATGTAATCTTCAACAGACATCATCAACATGGACGCTGGCAAGCTCGAATAGGCAGAGTTGCAGGAAACAAGGACCTTTATCTAGGGACATTCAGTGAGTTCCTTTGCATCTTCTCAATTTATTTGGGCAAAAACTTAAAATTGAATAAATAGATGATGGATATTGACATTATCGCATACTTAACTAATCAAGTGATTCTCATATTCATTTGAAACTATCGATTAATTAGAGCTCGATGAACTCATCATGTAATAAAAAGATATTCGAAAAAAAAAAAATTAAAAAAAAAAAAAAAAGGAATCTGAGTCATATATACCATGTTCATTTAAAAAATGTATTGAATGAGTTTACTTCAACAAGACTTGCACAACATCAAAGTTGAAACTGTATATACTGTATATTTTATTTTATAGATACCCAAGAATTTTCAAATTAAATAAAAGTTCTTTGGCCTTGTCGGTATTCTCGTATTTGATCTTCAACGAGAGGTGCTCCTGGGGTTGCTGTTGTTTGTTGTGGTCGATCTGTTACTCTGGGAAGAGTAACCGTCCTGGATGAGCCACTTCTGGACATCATTTCAGCTTTGCCTTTTCAATTTCTTCTTGTAAGAGTTTGTAAGGATTTCGGTGAACCTTAAGAACTCCTTTAGGTTCCTTTAATTTTTCCTTTGGGCCAAGAGTGAGCTTTTCAAGTTTTGAAACCAAATCTGGGGTAATTCCTCTCTCAGCTTGTTTGTTTGCTTCAAGAGAGCGAATTCTGGCTTCAAGCTGGGACACTTGATTGGATAATCGAACACAAAGTTCAATTATGGTGTTGTTCTGTCGAATTAGAACTCGGTTGCTTTCTGAGATTCCCGCTGCTTTGCCCGTGGATTGTGATAATCCAATCGCGGGTTCCTCTATCTCTTCTGTTGCCTTTAGTGCTGTGAGGTAGAAAAGATTATCTTGGCTGCTGGTCATCCAAGCACAACCTGCTTAAGTTGTTGGAGTACAGCTTCTACGGAGTCGATCTTTTCTTGCACCTTCTGTAATAGTTCAACAGCTTGATTTTCGGCGTTTCTGGATTGATGAGTGAGTTCTGCTACAAGATCTCGTACTTCCTGTTTTGTTAAAGGCTTTTGGACTAAAAGAAAAGAAGTAAGATTTACAACTTCCTTTTCAAGCCTAATAACCTTTGTCTGGAGTTTCTCTAAGGAACTTTTTAGTAAATGGTTTTCAGTTACAAGGTTACGAGATTCTTTCAAAGAGACTTTACTTAAAAGGCAAACCCTATCGTAAATTACAGCAATATTATGAGCTAGTTCTTTAGAGGATGGCTTAACAGTTGTAGAAAGATCAAGGTAGTTTAGGCGTGAAGTTTCTGATTTTTCATACCATTCCTTAATGTTTTGTTCCCATATATTTGTCATAATCTAGATACTGGTCTGGGTAAAAATATATTAACTAGTCTGAGCTATTTAGAATTTCTAATTACCAGAAAGAAGCGCTATAATCTATATTTACAACTCAAGGTCCAAGTTGTTCTTACCAATTTAAGTCTTCATTCACCACAGGGTTTCACTGGACTTACTCCTCTCTGCCAGATATAGGGCCTGCGTCTTTTACTTAGCACTTAAATTTCAAGAATTAAACTGCCTTAAGAGTTATAAATACAGAAATCATGCTATACTTTCTTATAATATCGAAACATTCAATAACCTTTGCCTTGGTTAATATACGGTTACTTTTGCCCTGGCATACAGATGATACTTCAAATATACAGATAAAACAATTCAAGAAAGCATAATTAATCATTCACAACAGAGGCCTTACTACCCTGATAAGTGGTTTACGCTAAAGTAGCCATAACAAAACTAGCTCTGATGCCATTCTTCTTGCAGACTTCAATCATTACATGGATATGTTTTGCATGGGTCTGTTCATCGGGTGAAAATACAAGGATATCATCAATGTATACGGCGATAAATTCTTCCGTTCCTTTGAAGCAGATGTCCATTTTTCGTTGAAACACAGCCGGGGCATTCTTTAGACCAAATGGCATGACTAGCCATTCATAGAGTCCCAAGGGTGTCCAAAAAGCTGTCCATTCGATTGAATCGGGGTGCATTGCAACTTGGTGAAATCCACTCTTTAAGTCGAACTTAGAGTAGATTTTGCTATGGCCAATCTTTGCCATAATTGTATTGATTCCGGGCAAGCTGTACTGATCCTTATGCGTATTATCATTGAGTCGCTTATAATTGCAAACCATACGCTCTTTTCCTCGCTTTTCCTCCTTTGTGATTGGATCAATATAAGTCCCTGAGTTGACAATAAAAGCAGTAGTTCGATGCCTGCTTTTGCTTGCACGAATAACCTTCAATTCCAGCAGCTGATCAATATGTTTCTTAAAGCTTTCTTTCATAGCTGGAGTAACATGCTTCATTGGCTTATCATCAATGATAAATTCTGAATTCTTCAGGTCCAATTTGCATGTAATTTGGTTCTTCGACCATTGCTTCATAGGATCTTCTCCAATAATTCCACAGTTCTGCAAGTGTTTTATCACCTTTGGATATTTGTCTTCAAATCTGGGAGCATGAGGATTATGCTCAATAGAGTGAAATATCCATTCTGCAGTAGGGTCATAGTAATGATCGATGAGGAAATCATCATCAATTTCAGCTTCCATGGTGTTGACAGATTGGCGCGTCTGGATACAAAAATGTGACATTGTCTCCTTCAATACGAACACCGCCATACATTGACCGTATGAAGTTACAGCCAATAATCATCTGTATACGACCACCTAGTCGAAATGGAAAGCTATATGTATAAGGGATTCGGAACCAGTTGTCTCCGATATACATTTTTCCTCCTCGAAGCTTTTTATTTGCCTTGGACTGTGAGTTAATCCCATTAAACTGCACAGTGTAAGTGTTTTCTTCTAGGGCCTCTGATGGAACGGATTCTGAATCCACGACACACGTGGTGGCTCCAGTATCAAGGATAGCATTGAGGACAACCTTCTTTTGTACGCCTGGAATTTCCAGTTCAACAGAAAGATTGTACATGTTACTCCTAGGATACTTTTTGCATACAAGTATCTTGAGACTGAATGTAAGAATGCTGCTTTCGCAAAAATTCTATAAAGTAAGCAAAGAACTAGTTGAAACTTACAAAAAAAACTTACAGAACTTTTGATTACACAGCGGAAATTTTGATACAAGACTTAAACTTCAAATACCGAATTTAGTTGTCTGAACTTCTTTCGATGTTTGAACTACTTCTAATCATAGTCTTTTATAGAGAAGTTGTCCACATGACATAGCATCTCAATAATCGACTTAAAGCTACTTTAACAAAAGCAAAGATAAAGAAGAATCAAACTTTGTAAAAAGTAGGATTCTTTTACAATTATTTATGCTAGACGACATAATAATAAAAGAAAGCATAAAGAAGAATCAAACCTTTTGAAAAAAGTAGGATTCTTTTATGCTAGACGACACACTTTAAGATAAGAAAGAACCTTTCTTTCAAATCGAAAAGAACACGATACCAAGATATAAAATATCTACCATGGGGTTTCATTTTGATTGCATAATTGAGTTCTATGACTTAATGGGTATTGTGTATTCATTTTGTATTTTGTAGTTTCTGTCAATGAAGTTAGCTTCTGTGAATCCAAGGTTGGAATTTAACATGGATAGTCTCTTGTCAAAAGATGTGAGTATAGAAACTTGTTGTAAAATCAATTTCTTTTATCTATTGTGATGTTTTTTTTCTAAAATTGGTTGTAAAATTCCAGGTATTTCAGCCTAATGGCTTTTCCCTCATCAAACATACCCATTAGATTCCTCTGCTTCTACTTTCTTTGGACAACAGACCCAGGAATTTCCACCAGTACATACTAATCTTTCCAATGGGGACCATACAAGCACCACATTATGCCAAAACAACGGCATGCAATTACCTCCGGTCGATGAATTCGGCCAAGGTATTCCATAGGTATTCAAATGCTGGCCCATTCCTGAAGAATTTGGTGTTGTCTTTGTTTTCTCCATTTTCATTTTTTGTGTTTCAGTAAGGAAAACAAAGAAAAGTTGGAAATACCCAAAATAAAATAAAAATCTGAAAAGAGTTTTCTGAAACAATTCTGTGTTTTTTAGCATTGAAATAGAAATTAAAATACAACTACACAGCCCTTTTAAGTTTTTCATCATCTAATTCTGCTTTTCTCAACTTGAAATCCTCAGTTTCCAACATTGTGTGAAGATGATCTGCAAAGCATTGTTCAGATGGGGTTTGGTCAAGAACCCAAACCACAATACAGGATTTCAATCATCCCACATGAAAATTGAACTGTGGTCACCATTGATTTGTCCTCAACTCAAGGCCCAGAGGCTGCTGTATATTAATGGATTTTTTTTTACGAGAAATATTAAAAGAAAAATCTTGATGCTTACCTAAAATATAGTAGAATCACAAGTTGCTTCATTCACCAACTAAATTTGATTTGTTGGATGAAGAACTGTGTTGAATCAAGAAGGGTTGACTTTTGTTAAATCTATTTTCTATAACAGCTTTAGATATGTTACATATGATCTCTATAATTGAAATTGGTTTGATCTGTTTTTGCAGGAATAGTATGTATCCTGGGCAGTTGACTCGTCTCTGTTGTGAACTACAACTCTTTATGAGTTCAAGAAGAGCATACAGTCTCTAATGTTTTTGTAGTGGAAGTGGATAGAACCATAGATAGACTTGTGGATAGAACCATAGATAGACCTGTGGATAGAACCATAGATAGACCTGTAGACACTAATGCTTGCTTAAAGATGGGTTTTGAGCCACTGGTTTGGTATTGTCAGCCAGTGGCAAATGGACACTTTGGTTGTTTCCATCTACAATTTGGTTCTTGTGGGCCTGTGCTTATATCGAATATGGCTGACTACGAAAAATTTATCGCTATTTTTTAGTTTTTTTTATAGGTATTTCTTTAGTTCAATAACATAAAATTAGCACAATTTAAAAAAAAAAAAGAAAGGGGCTATCACGGCGTTTCTAAAAACGTCGCTAAATAGCATATCAACAGTTGGAGTTTTGAAAAACAGATACGGCGGCATTTTTAAAACGTCGCTAAATAGAACGGTGATGTCATGTTACCGTTAGGAGAACTTTTAGCGGCGTTTTTTCTAAAACGCCGCCTATAGTAATATAGCGACGTTTCTAAAGCGCCATAGAGTTATAGCGACGGCCGCATCTTCGACGTTTGGTGACAAACGCCGCACAATGATTTAACGGCGTTTTTAAGAGTTATAGCGGCGTTTTTTAAACGCCTCTAAAACTCTAATTTCTAGCAGTGAACAGAATACAAATAGATTTTGTGGCGTAAGATCTACTTCTCTAAAAAGACCCCCCATCATCTATGTGATCTAAGCCCTAGAAACATAACAAATACAAGCCTTTTGAGAGTTTGGAGCCGTCACAAGAAAAAAACAAAAATCATGTACAAGTAGTTTACGCATTCAATTTGTATTCAAGTAAAAATCTCAACATGAAACCAGTGTGATTTTACCAATTTGATCAAGCACATCAATAATCTCTTGCCTGCTCCTCGTAGTCCTATGAAACACCTCCCTTACTTGTTGCTACAATGGTACTAAACCTTCCTTCATCTTCCCACAAATTTTCAACAAATTCACCGACCAGCGCCACCACCTCACCGCCCCTTGCAACCACCACCAGCACCAGAAACTCATTCGAATCAGCAAATTCAACCAAAGATTGACACACTTTCTCCATCCTCTGTACCTCTTCCAACTTCCCACAACAACTCCCCTTCTTCTCTTTCTCCTACTTCTTCTTCCACTCCTTCCCAATTCTCTTCTGAAGCCCAATCATTGCCTGAGCCCAACCCAACTACCTCAGGACCGAAAAAGGGGTCGCCAACCCAGCCTTTTCCTGACATGGCCACTAAAGCCCACATCACAAACACCATAATTGTACTCATCATATAAACAAATAAACCCAAACCCTCAACAATTGTTCGTTGTTGAAGCTTTTGTTCGTGGTTTAAATCCATGGAGACTACCTAGTTTCGGCGGTTGTTGATTCGGTTCAGGAACGAACCCTGGTTATGGGGTGCCCGCATGGTTGAAGTTTAAGGGAGAGAGAGAGAGAGAGAGAGTGAAATTGTCAGATTGAGAGTTATAGATGGTGGCATTGGATGGTGGTCGTTAGCTTGAACTTTACCGGGAACGAGGCTGTTTCTTTTATTCCTTTTGGAAACTGACACGGCATTTCTCTTCTATCAAAAGAAAAACAAAAATAAAATTTACTTTTCAAAACTTAATCAAGGCTCCATAAAAAAAATAAATAAAAAATAAATAAAAAAAAAAAACAAAAAACAACAAAAAAACAAAGGGGATCAAAGAATGCTTCTATCAAATAAAAACTTAATAAAGACTCCATAAACATCATATTAACCTTCCAGGTCCCAAGGAAGAAAACAAACCATCATTATATCCACTACAGGAAAAGGGCGATTTGGTGGCGTTTTTTTAACGACGTTTCTGTAAACGTCACAGTTATTAGTATTTAACGGCGTTTTAAAAACGCTGCATATTCCATTAAACAAAACGACACCGTTTTATAATGGGAGGCGTTTAAAAACGCCTCCGAATGTGGTGACCCACATGCGCCCCTTTCTGTGAAAACCCTTCCCACAACAACTCCCCTTCTTCTCTTTCTCCTACTTCTTCTTCCACTCCTTCCCAATTCTCTTCTGAAGCCCAATCATTGCCTGAGCCCAACCCAACTGCCTCATGACCGAAAAAGGGGTCGCCAACCCAGCCTTTTCCTGACATGGCCACTAAAGCCCACATCACAAACACCATAATTGTACTCATTATATAAATAAATAAACCCAAACCCTCAACAATTGTTCGTTGTTGAAGCTTTTGTTCGTGGTTTAAATCCATGGAGACTACCTAGTTTCGGCGGTTGTTGATTCGGTTCAGGAGCGAACCCTGGTTATCGGGTGCCCGCATGGTTGAAGTTTAAGAGAGAGAGAGAGAGAGAGAGTGAAATTGTCAGATTGAGAGTTATAGATGGTGGCATTGGATGGTGGTCGTCAGCTTGAACTTTACCGGGAACGAGGCTGTTTCTTTCATTCCTTTTGGAAACTGACACGGCATTTCTCTTCTATCAAAAGAAAAACCAAAATAAAATTTACTTTTCAAAACTTAATCAAGGCTCCATAAACATAAAAAAGAAAAAAAGAAAAAAAAAGGGGATCAAAGAATGCTTCTATCAAATAAAAACTTAATAAAGACTCCATAAACATCATATTAACCTTCTAGGTCCCAAGGAAGAAAACAAACCATCATTATATCGTAACTCATTTTTATTATTTATTAATTTATTTATTTTTCCATTTTATTCACATGTACAAAAAAAACCCAACAAAGGGCTCCATCGTCCCGGGCAGGGAGGATTGCCATGTTCTAGGGGGTGCTCGCGGTTTAGTTTTGAACATGGTTCTAAATCGCTGTATCGGGTAACGTAACGGTATCGATCGCGGAGTATCGGTATCGGCAGTATCGATCGGCACGTATCGGGAATCAGGTGTCGCGGCGGTGAAATTTTAAAAATCATTTCACAGCTTTTTCTTTCTCGTACCGATCTGAATCGGAGAGTATCAGCTTGTCATGGCTTGTGTAACGGCTTGTGTAACGGTTATAGACCGATACGTACCAGGACTCGGCCGATAAGTACCAGGACTCGGCCGACATGCTTGCGATTTTCAATCTCAGCGGTATACCGACTTGTATCCGTCGCGGTACCTTAATTTTCCAATATGTATCAGTCGATACGTAGCATATCGGCCGGTTTTTAGAACTATGGTTTTGAACGATTTGATTTGCGGTTTGGACTCGTCCACATATGTGTGGTTTGGAGAAAATTGAACCCATAACCGCTTGCAGTGCGGATTGCGATTTATGCGAATGGGGTTTGTGAATGTGTGAACAATTTGGAGTTCAGATCCTCTCCTTAGACCCTCTCCTTGAGTTCCTACTTGGGACGGTCCTGATCTGCCCAAAAAAAAAAAAATCAAAACATATTGAAAATTTCCATTTTCCCGCACAGAGCCATACATATAGGTTATACAGATTTGAAAATTCCCTCTCAACCAGCCTCACCCTCCCTTACAAACCTAGTTCTCCACCGAACCCAGCCTTACCGGCGACCCACTCCTGATGGCAACCCACTCTCAACAGCGACCCACTTCCGATGACGGCGACCCACTCCTAAAACCCAAGGTGGATTGATTCTCTTTGCTTCACAAAATAGAGCCCTTTCTTCTCCTCTACCTCACCGAACCCATCGCATCAGCAAGGTGGATTGATTCTCTCTGCTTCGCAAAACAGAGCCCTCTCTTCTCTTCTACCTAACCAAACCTATCGCACCGGCAACCCTCTCGACGGCGATTCACTCCCCAAACATAACCCATTGCTTTGCCCTCATACTCTCTGCCCTGACTTCGCGAACCACAGTTCCCCTACAAGCAAACCAGTCTTTGTAGCTTCAATCATCCAATGGTTAGTCTTCATTGTCTCTGTAATTGATTGTTTCAGCTGCATTTGTTTGATACATGAAATCAATCATTTGATATATTTTTTTCCTGTTCGTAATGGTTGTTGATATCCTTGGTCTTCACATACATAATTTTTGTCTGTTGGTAATGGTAATTTTGCCTGTTGGTAATGGTTCTCCTTGGTCTTGACATATATAAGTTGAAGATATTCATGTTTGTATGTCAACAACTAATTTGATGCACTAAATTTTATGTTTGTATGTCAATTTCATTATCCTATTAAACCATGAACCAACCAACATAAACACTCGAAAGATATTTCAATAACTTAACTGATGCACTGAGAATTTTTTTCGAAACACATAATGCTAGTTCAAAAATTAGGGGAATTTTCAAAATTTGCTTTTATATTTTGTTAGTTTGACAAATATTTGACAAATATAAACACTTAAAAGATATGTTAAATTTTCAGAAATTATTTCTATCATCTAAAAGATAAAATCATGTGAAAAAGATGTTGTTCATCCTGGTAAATATGATGAAGGCTTGTTGAATTGGGTTGGTTTTCTCACAATGATTAAGGATGGATTTTTTTTTTTGGTAGCAGATATAACATTTTTTTTTCTGTAGATATAAGTTATAAAACTTATTCTGTAGCTAACATTTGATTTATATGGCTTTTTAGTTGCAGTTTGATGTGGATATGGAACCTGAGAATGATTGTGCTTGGAAGCCAAAAGACGGATTGACATTTGATTCAGAACAAGGTGCGTATGATTTTTGTAATGCATATGGAGGAAGAATGTGATTTAGCATAAGAAGGGATTATTGTATTAAGAACAAGTTCACTAACCAACTTAGTGAATCTTTTAATGTTTTTTTAAAAGATTACATTCGTTCTGATTTTAATTTAAAAGAATTCTTCATACGTTTTGAAAGGGTACTTTATGAGAAGTGATACAAGGAGTTAGAAACAGGATATGCTTTGTGCCA